TGGTTTTCAAATGTGCGTGAAAATACGATGACATGATCGAGGTTCCACAGGCATGTTGACCATTGGTATCTACGCAGGAGAGAGTCCATCATTCATTAAAATGTAGCTGGACATTACGCAATTCCAATAGCATAACCTAGAACTAGAAAACTCCATCCGGTGAAATGAATGCGGTTTTTGCACGGTATCAGTGATGGACAGAAATCTGCCAGTATTCTGATCCTAAGTCGATAGGTAAAAAGTCGGCAGACCCATGTAGGCAGTTCAGAGCATCGTAAATCCGCAGCAGTGGATACACGTCTTTACATGTTACTTAAGTGACGGTAGTCTACGCAGAAGCGCCAGCTGCCGTCCTTCTTCTTGACTAGCACGACCGGCGATGCCCATGGACTGAAGGAAGGTTCCTCGACGTCCTTGGTGAGCATTTCTTCAACTTCGTGCTAGATAACTTGTCGCTCAGCATCGGACACGCAATAAAGATGCCATCGGATGAGACCGGCGTCTCCAGTGTTGATCCTAATAGTTATGAAGGATGTCTGACCCAAAGGGTGGTCATCAAAATCGAAGATGTCATGGTAGGATTTCAGCAGGTACCAGATGTCAGATGTCCGTGCTGGAAGAAGGTCAGAGGTGATCATGTTCTCGATGGTGGCATCCACTGCGCTTTGCGAGGAGGAGAATGCAGCAGAGGACGAAGAAGATTCGGCAGCGAATGCCCAAAAAGCAGCATCAATAGAAGAGAATTTGGCCAGTCATGCCATCTGGTATAACTTGAGCGCACCAGCTGAAGTTTAGAATCAGAAGAGATGCTGTATTTCCCGTGACTATCAAAAGTGTGTGAGGCACTGCAACATTTTTGGCCAGTAGAACGTCACCAATATGTGTGTCAAGATGTAGTCACCATAAGGAACAGGAGGGACAGACTTCAGGTTCACGTAGGTAACGGCTTGAGGTGCTAGGCGAACGTGATCAGCAGCACAGAAACGTAGTTGAGTTGGTGTTGGGTCGTCATGGTAACATGGTAAATCAAGTTGAAGCATGCTGGTCCAAGAATCAATAAGGGCACAGTTGGCGGATAAAAAGTCGATGCCGATGATAGGTTCATGGGAACATTTCTCGAGCACAGCAAACAGTGCTGTCGCAGAGTGGTCGGCAATACTTATACGTGCGGAGCACATTCCAAGCACTGAAAATGCGCCACCGTCGGCGACCTAGATGAGTGGTACTGTCGGTGGCGTTAACTTTTATAAAGCGGCAACGAAGTTCTGAATTCATCACTGCTATGTGAGCCTCTGTGTCCACAAGTGCAACAACGGGTGTGTCGTCTACTTCAATATCAATAAGGTTGCGTCTTCTCGGCATCATAATCAGAGGATTTGGCAGGCAAGTGGTCGATGCAGCATCACCTCTGAGAGCTGAATCATCTAGTTTTCTCGTAGCAGGTGGTCATTCGGCGACGTTAGTCGGCGAAATTGGGCCGAGCGAAACGACGGGTGATTGGAGAGCAGTGAACGGGGCTGGTGAGCATGCGGAGATGGGGAACGACGGTGATATGGCGGCATAGAAGGAACGTTATCACTGGTGGCCAGAGGAGATTCCCGGTAAGGTTGAAAGCGTCCATAATCTCTCTGGGTGATTAATGCACCCATAGGATGCCTGATGCTGATACCGCCGGATGTTACAATGCCGGACCACGTGTCTGATATGGCAGCAGTTGAAACAAGTCGGACGATTGTCAGCAGCCCTCCACTCGGCTGAATTGTGAGGGCGCAACGGAAGGTTTTCGCTTTGGGCATAAAAAACGGGGGCTCGACGATGGTCGATCGGCTGAGAGGGAGCTGTAGTGCCCTCAGAGGTCAGCCCGGCATGGGAAAGCTCTTGTCGCACTTTGAATGTATCAGTGGCACCATCTGAGGGCTAGAGTCACAGCAGGGAGCACGTGGACGCAGGAGACAGAGCTTCAAGCTCACGTCTGATAATCTTAGTCACGTGCTCGACAGCTAAGGGCGTCTAGAGTGCATGCCCATCTTCGCACGACCAGGTGACTGCTGTGTTTGGAAGTTTAGTAAAATGGTGGGCGATAGGTAGACTTTTTGCGGCCTCAAAACACTAGCAATCCTTGATTATGGCATCCACTGTGTTGCAGTCATTGCCTAAGAGAAGTTTGAACACAACATCTGCAATGAATTTCAATATGTGTTCTACTTTGTCGGTTTCTTCCGTGACATTTTCTGGTTTCCGGCACTTTTTCGACACTTTTGCTGTTCTTTTCACGTAGAACAGGATGTTGGCCAACATGAAAGTTTTATGCCAGCGGTACTTGTTACTTGTACGTTCGTACAACGGCAACCATTCTTCAAAGTTGACATCATCAGTGCCGCAGAAGGTACCAAGATCTTTAAGCGGTGGAAGAACAACAGCCGTTGTTGAGGTCGCCTCGGTGGGAGCGGGTTCCTGGTTTCCCGTGGTGCAAAAGCTCAAACCTCGGCCACTGCGCAGCTTCGTTATATCGTGTTGTAACCACCACCACTACCACCACTAAACGTCGTGGGGTGAGAGAATGAATGAAATAAATGTGTTTACAAAATACATAGGGAGAGTCAGAGACAGCTGCAGGCAAGATGAAGGAACAACAGCAAGAACACGAGCGCAATCACATTAATAGTCTTCATCGTCTACCTGGTGCTCTCTCGTTGCAGATGTCATGTTACAATATCATAGTTTGATGGCGTTAAGCCAAAACAATTCATCATCGTCTCTCGTCATGCCTAATTCACAAAAGACAATGTTGTATACTAGGCTACTGTGTGTTGTTTCTCTCCTGAAACAGCAAAAATCAAAGCAGCACAATTCCTTCTTCGTTGCCGTTCCATCCATCGCTATCAGAGTAGAAGCGTCGGAAGATATTTAAGGAAGATATAGTAGAAGCATCGGAAGTCAATCACGACATCGCAGTCACATGTATGGGTACAAGGCTGAATTGAAAGAAAGCATAACCTTCCACGTTGTATTTGTGCGCCCATGTCCGCGCCTTTTATCTCATACCGTATTTTTAATTCAAAATAACGTGTTCGGTGGTTTGATATTTGAATCCGTAAAAATGAAAAATCTGATAATTTCAGCCTTCATTTTTATATGGTTTTCTATTTGTTGTTTCGCCCTGCATACGGGCGTCTGATCTTCGAAATGACTTCCGTTAAGTCTATTTTGTTTCTGCTTACCTTTCTATGAAGGGCTTTAACTCACAACAATTCATGTAAACTTTAGCCTCCTTGATGGATATTGTCATCATTTGAAATGTGCGCAGTCGTTAGCTTTTTTACCTTGTCCGCTGTGGGGAAGAAGTTGATATGCTGCTCGCTTGCTGAACCAATGGTTGCGAGTTCCCTGCAAGTCGCGGTGGTCGTATTTGAGTGTACGCGAAAAAGTAGAGGCTTGAGTACACTGGGATGTCACTGCACTATAAAGAACACCAGATGGGCGAAATTCGCAGAGCGCTCTAATAAGGCGTCTCTCATTTACAGTTCGTGGTTTCGGGGCGTGAATTATCAGATATTATTGAGCCCGATACATTTTAGCGACCTTCGACGACCTTGCCCATATCTATCTATCTATCTATCTATCTATCTATCTATCTATCTATCTATCTAATATATATCTAAATATATATATATATATATATATATATATATATATATATATATATATCACAATTTATTTATTTATCTAATAATATATCTATCTATCCTTGTATCTATCTAGCCGCCTACGAATTTTACCTCTCTTGGCTGTTTTGATATTGGGATCTCTACCGAATCGATATGGTCTAACATGACTAAGACAAACTTAGGAGAGCAGTCATGACATGAAAACCATGACACGTGTGTCATGAATATCGTAATAACGTGTGATGAGTGGTGGTTTTATTCACACGACATATTGCAAAACTGTTATGGTATCACATGGCTGTCTGGCGAACATAATTTACAGGCTCTAGCGTAGAAATGTTGATATGAATGTCATGTAAAACATGACTACATGCTACGTTCATGATGCACTCGCAGTCGTTACGCAAGTTTCACATATACCAAACTTGGTATTACGTGACGTGAACGTGTGACGAAGGTAAATGACACACAAAAATGTTAATCATGATATGCGTGTCATGTGAAACATGACTACGTGCTACGCATGCTCGTGGCCGTTTTGCTAGCTTCACATATACTAAACTTGGTATCGATGACGACGGTATATGGCTGGGTAAACATAATAATGACATGCGTGTCATGTAAGAACATGGCTTCATGCCCACTCATGATGCGCTGGCAGCTGTTTCGCTAGCTTCGTATGCCAAATTTGGTATTACGTCACGCAAATGGACGACGAAGGCAAATAACACGTCTGTACATAATAATGACATGCGTGTCATGTAAACATGACTACTTGCTACGCTCAGAGTGCACTCGTGGTCCTTTCGCTAGTTTCACATATAACAAAATTTGGTATAATGTGACTTGAATGGATGGCGAACACAAATGTCAGGCCCAAGCATGATAATCATTACATGGTAGTCACGTAAGGCATTATCTTCATGGCTACATGGCTACCACGGCGGGTGCTGGTATTCCTAAACTTGTTTGGTGTATACTACGTCCTTCCGCCTCTTATGCTGATGTCTAGAGGCATATGAACCTTCCTTATTCTCGCTTCGCATATCATAGATTCTGCCGCAACGTGGGGTCTGCCAGTTTCTAATATAAGCTTCATTAGCTTTCCTCGTGCAACTTCGTTTTTTTCCCTAAAAAGTTCTTTACAAGTACCATTTCAAAAGTGCTCCTGCCTGCCTTCAATATAATCTATATTTCGACGCCTTTCCGTGGTATCCTCGGGGATCTTCCCAATGTACCAGCAGAATACCTTTGCTTGTTCATGAAAAGAAAACTGGAGATGTGTAAAAATACAAAAAAAAGCTTCTTTCATCTTTCGTTTCTCGTGGACAGGAGCCGAGATTGCTTTGGACTTCATAAAGAGCGAAGCCATGCAGCGCATTGGAGCGAAGCCTTGGGAAATCCCTCTTCGTCAGTGTTTATGGGCCCTCCCGATCTGGAGCAAACCGTACCTCGGCTGTTTTGTGCAGCATATGGCACAAACCACGTGGCACCCCTGCTGCACGTGTTCCATGGGTTCCCATACAGGGGCCGTGGTGGACCATGAGCTCAGGTGCGCATTCTCGCACATTCAGTTAAGGAGTGTACGACGTGAAACAACGAGCACTTTGCATATGTGCGGACATTCGCTCATATATTCCGGGAAACGTCCCGAGTCTCGACAAGCAATTGTATGTAGCGTAGAGTGTTGATGTTTGGTGTCGTTGGTAATTTACAATATCTTGTTTAGAGCGAGATTCCTAGACAACTGACAAAAAGTTGCAGTGCTCGAAAGGGTTAGCTTCCAACATCTACTTTTCTTCATTCACCACATTAGTACTTCATGATTTCAGGAAGCGTAGTGGCGCACTCACGCGTTTACTATGAGAAGTTTATTCATAAACATAAAATTTACCTAGAATGCAGCGTTTGCGGGTGCCGCAACTCTTTCTCTCCCTATAATATTTAATGTTTGCTAAAGTGAAGTGGAGTGAAGTTCATTTTTTTTCTTTCACACAAGGGTCAAAGCCGAGCTCAAAAATAAATTGCCCTACAGAGACCTCAGCTCTTTTGTACAGCCTGACATAAATAATTGTAAACCTGATTGCACAGTTAGGTGAGTTTGCTGCTAGCCCCGCCGCAGTGGTGTTAACATTATTCACCCGTACCTACTGCATTCTATGCTGTAATTACTCCTGCACTAAGTTAACTGGGACACCACAAACGCCAAGTAATTTAACTTTTCTAAAACAATATTGTGCTGTACACCGTCAAACACATATCGAAAGTGTAGGAGACCAAGATTGTAGTGTTTTTGTTCTATATAATCAAATAATTTGTCTTTTATAACCAGTAGCACCTGCTCTGTGGATTTGTTTCTTTAAAACACCAAACTGGCAAATAGATATCAGTTGGTCTTTAGTGAAAAAACATTCGAGCCTGTAATAAGACTCCTTCAAATAAATTCGAAAATACTGTTAACACAGAAATTGGTCGGTAGCTTGACATTTTCATTCGATTACTTTTCTGTATATTAGACAAACCTTGGTGATTTTTAGCTCATCGGGATACCCACCAGAACTAAACATCAGGTTAACAACATAAGACAGTACGTCAGAAATCAAAGGAGCGATGTCCTTATTAGATACAGATTTCATATCGTCGTGACCCACATGTACATAAACCTGTAACTGTTTGATTAAAGCTACTATTCTTGAGAGGAACTGGGCAGAAAAACAAACTTCGATAAAGTAGTAATAGAGTTAATAAATATATCGCCAAGTTCCGGTGTATCACCGAGTGGTTTACCAACATTTAAAAAGTACTCATTAAAAGGAAAAGCTAATCAAAGGCACACAACTTTCCTTCCGGCGTACTTGTGTCGTTCGCCAGACTATTATCTTCACCTTTCGTTAAGTAAGTTACTTCTCTACATACTTCACCACTGTCGTTTTCGATTGTTGTGAAACGCTCAATGAAATAATTCGCTTTTGCTGTGTTGAATTCTTTGCTCAGTTGATTACAATACTCTTTATCCTCTCTTAGAAGGTTAGGATCCCGATTCTTAAGAAAGAGTGGTACATTTTGTTCTTGGTGCCCATTTTTTCATACAAATGTTTGGTTATTCCCAGCTTTCTGAGATTCTTCCTATTTACTCTTCTTGTAGTTATTGGGGAAGCCTCATTATAGGCATTCAAAAACTTCCAAATAAATGAGAGTATGCCATGTTTATGTTATTTACACAGCATATGTTATGCAAGTTTGTATTCCGACTGAGGCATCAAAATTTGCTTGAGTTATCATTTTTTTGCCTCGTCATAAATTTATCAACCCTGATCTTGCGTTTGCTTACTCTGTTGATAAAGCAAAAAAAGGCATTTGTTCAATAATGTCCAAACTCAGCAGTCCAGATTCTACTTTAGCCACCCTTTTACATGTTTGTAACAAAAACGTCTAAGATAGTGGCAGTGTCAACAGTAATTCTAGTATGCAAAGTAATGTGATTTCAACATGCGAAAGATAAAATAACACTGTCGAAATCGGCTGCGCTCGGGTAGTAATGCAGTATAATTATATTATGTCGCTCATGAGTACAATAGAAGAGTGCTAGAATGTCGATTTTCAGGCATTTCTTCAAGATAATCTAGAAACTCTCGCTTATTTGATGACTTGATAAATTGCAGTGCATTATCGATGTCTTGCAGTGTACAATCGTGACCCTCGGTCAATGAACTCACTCTTGAGTTGACTCAGTCCGACTCATATCGATCAGTGAGTTGGGTGAGTGAGTAATTTCTTGGTACGATCGAGTCCGAGTAAGTCCAATTAAAAAAAAAAGCGCTCGTGAGTGTGAGTGCAGCTCAGGAAAGTATTAGTGTGTGCTATCCTCAACCTCGTAATAAGAAGAATAAATAAGTAACACGTGTTAAAAATTGCCATACAGGCTGCTGTCAAACGCAACACAGCTCATACTGCACCAGCGTCTCGCAGTCACTTCGTCATCTTTCACACTGTCCACAACAGGGCACGTCCATCTCGTGGATGCACTTGTAATTTGCCAAGATTTGCCAATAATGAAACGCTTATCGTCCTCGTTAGGACACTCTTGGCAAAGTTCTTGACAGATCTTACTTCAAAATGATCGGCCATCCTATTAAACTTATTTTCTCAACAGTTTACTAATTGACACATGCATGATAACTAGATGCGGGAACCCAAGCAAAATAACATAAAAGCAATACTGACGCTTAAAATTCTAATGGTACCAAGAAGTTCGTCCATTCGTAGCGTGAAACGTGGAAGGAAATGTCGTACTTTTCAGCCATCTGGACAAGCTTGACCTTAGGGAAAGCCACAACACGTAGTAGAGAAAGGAAATATTTCGCACCACATAAAAAAAAAACCACATAGTATTTCTCTTTGAAAGAGGACCTGCTTGCTTTGCTGCGTGCCGGCTTCACGATGCTCGTGTTCTCTTGAATGCGAAGCATTTCTTAGCGAACTTCGGCGACTTTCACTTTATCTATCTATCTATCTATCTATCTATCTATCTATCTATCTATCTATCTATCTATCTATCTATCTATCTATCTATCTATCTATCTATCTATCTATCTATCTATCTATCTATCTATCTATCTATCTATCTATCTATTTATTTATCTGTTTATCTGTTTATCTATTTATCTATTTATCTGTTTATCTATTTATCTGTTTATCTATTTATTCATTTATCTATTTATCTATCTGGCCACCTACGACTTTTAGCTCCCCTGGTCGTTTCGATAATCGTATCGGCAGAACACTTGGTATGGCGCAACATGAATGTATGGAGAACATATCTGACTAGTCATCACATGAAAATCATGACATGTATGTCATGAATGTCATGATTTACAATTCATGATCCTGCTGATCTTTCGGTGGTTTTGTTCACATGGCATGTTTCAGAACTGCTATGGTATGACATGACTGCATAGCGAGCATAAGTGACAAACCCTAACGTGAAAATTACGAAATGCATGCCACGATTTTCATGTTATGACTAGTTATGACTACACGCCACGCTCATGGTACGCTCACGGCCGTTTCGCTAGCTTCGCATCTACCAAATTCGCTATTACAGGACGTGCATCAATGACGAAGGTATGTCACTGGTGCAAACACGATAATCATGAAATACGTGTCATGTAACAACATGACTGCATGCTACGCTCGTGATACGTTCATGCTCATTTCGCTAGCTTCACATGTACCAAAATTGGTACTACGTGACGCGGACGGACGACATAGGCAAAGTACAGGTACAAACATGATAATCACGACATGCGTGTCATGTAACAGCGTGACTACATGCCAAATTCATGAGACGCTGCAGCCGTTTCGCTAGCTTCACATATTACAAATTTGGTATTTTTGGTATTACGTCACGTGAATGGATGATGAAAGTATGTGACTGGTGCAAACATGATATTGATGAGATTCTGGTCATGTAATAACATGACTACATGCCACACTCAAGGTGCCAATGCACTTCAACATGACCAGGCGCGCGTGCGCGCCGGCGTTTGTTTCGTCGCGTCACGCCAGCGATGCCACGCCAAGCGCCGATCTGCGCCTGCGTTGCTTTGATGCATGCGCGTTTGAGCGCGCCTGGCGTCCCTCCATCATGAAGAGAGGCAGACGCAGTGCTATCTGGGTAGAGCTGGGTAACGTGATGGGCGCGAAATGCAGCGTGTTGCAGCATGTTGCCTAGCGTCCGTAGGCCGCGCCGACGGACGCTAGGCGCACGAGGTGCGCCTGGCATGCGCTTTGCTTGCGCAGCGTCACTGCGCCCAGCGTGCGCGCTCGTCAACGTTAGGTCGGAGTATATTGGGCCCTTCATGATGCGCTCGCGGCCGTTTCGCTTGCTCCACATATATCTAATTTGGTGTTACGTGACGTCAATGGATGACGAAGGTATATGACTGGTGCAAGCATAATAAGCATGGCAGGCACCATGTAAGAATATGACATTATACCACGCTCATGATTCGCTAGCGGCCGTTTCACTAGCTCCGCATATACCAAATTTGATAACACGTGACGTGAATAGACGACTAAGGTACTTGACACATCTATACATGATAATCTTGATATAGTGTCATGTAAAGCATGACTACACGCTACGCTCATGCGTGCTCGCGGTCGTTTCACCAGCTCCACATACACCAAATTCAACATTCCGGGACTTGAATAAAAGAAGACTGTAAATGACAGGTCTAAACAATATAATCATGGCATGGAAGTCATATACGGCATAATTTACCACAGCCTCGTTACGTTGTGCTGATTTTAAAGTGGCATTTCAACCTTCTTTATTCCTACTTCGCATATCATCGGTTCCCACTGTACATGGGATATGCCAATTTATTTCCAACTTTTCTCTGGCACTTTTTCTTATTTTGCCAGTGGCTTGTCGTCGCTTATGTTTTTTCGGCATGGCCGGCCTTTCGGCGTGTTGTCTTGTGCAACCTCTCTGTTCTCCTGCTGATCATAATCTGTCGCATTTTGTCCGTTGACTGCTGTTTCATC